CGTGAGCGGAAGGGAGACCCCTGCCTTTCCCCCCCTCCTCAGGCCTGAACCGCGGCCGCATCTGCGCCCCCTGTGCCCGGGCACCCACACTGGCACCTCCTCCGGCCTGGTGCCTTCCGCCTGCATTGCCACCGCGTGCTACCCTGCCGACCGCTTGGAACCCTTTTCCCGGATGAGCTGAGGCCTCCGTTCACACCGAGGCCCCAGCCCCTCCCCCGCACGCCATGAGCAGGCCCAACCTTCAGGAGTGGGTGATGGAGGGGTCCCCGGAGGATGGGCAGGAGTCTCCGGACTCCCGGGACCAAGCCACCGACTGGAGGTTTGCTGTGTGCCGTTTCAGGGATGCCTGGGATGAGGAGGAGCCCGCTCCCCAGGTGCAGGTTAAGGACCCCAGTCCTCCGAGACCCCCCGCAGGGGCAGCTCAGGGTGACGGGCTGCAGGGCGGCCCCCTGTGTGGGGAGCTGCCACCAACCCCAGGACAGATGGCTGTGGATGGGTCAGGGGATGGCCAGAGGGTCGCTTTAGGAGGTTCCTCAGGCGAGTCAGAGGAACCAGTCCCCTCTGAAGTGAAGAGCCTCCTGTGCCTAATGTCCTCCCACCTCAGCCTGGCACAGGGCAGTAGTGCCAGCCAAGGGGGAGACTTGGCAGGAGACCCAGATTCAGGCAGGGTACTGACCACTGACTTGGACCCTGGGGAGTTGGGCAGCGATTCTGTGAACCTGGGAGGCCCGTTAGCTGAGACATCACAGCGGCTGGAGGCAGGTAAGGGCTGGGCAGAGATGCCTGGGAAGGGAGTAGGAGGGCCCCAGCCCTACTCTGGCCGAAGCCCCAGGTCAGAGGAGGGGCTCTTTGGATAGATGGGCCAATGCAGACCCAAGCCATTTCCGTTTCCAAGACCCTAGTGGATCCAGCCTCCCTAAGCCCGCTGACTACCTTCTGGCCCAAGACCTCGCCTGGGAGCTGCTGGCCAGTGGCATGGCTGCCCTGCCAGGTAGCAGGAGGGACTAGAGGTGGCGGAGGTAGGGTGACTTGATTGGGACGATGTTCACTGTCCTCTCCCCACAGGGACTCGGGATGCAGACGGCCGGGCAGTGCTGCTTCTGTGTGCTCATAGCCACACCTGGCTTCATCCCTTGTGCAGCAGCCAGGAACTCGTCCGCCTCCTGCTCTACCTGCGAAGCATCCCCAGGTTGGGGGAGGAGCAGGTTGTGGGTAGAGCCTGAGCCCAGAGATGGCAGGGCCTGGGAATTAGGTCCTGAATGAAGCCTGTTCCTTTAGGCTCGAAGTACAGGCCCTGGGACTGACTGTGCTAGTGGATGCCCGAATTTGTCCCCCGAGCTCTTCCCTCTTCTGGGGGCTCAGCCAACTGCAAGTGAGTACTGGACTGTGGCTCCCCACCCCTAACCGTTCCATTTGTGTAAGGTTGGGGCAGGGATGAGCTCAGATTTCTTTCAGGAGGCAGTCCCAGGGTCGGTGCACCAGGTGCTGCTGGTGGGAAAAATGCCCAAGGAGGTGCCTTCAGGACTGCAGGTACTGAGCCATGTTGGCCAGGGGTGGCGGTGGGATGCTTCCCCCCAGGCCTGGGTCACAGCACCATTTTTGGTTGCAGGTAGAGCAGTTGTCCTCTCTTCAGAGCTTGCTGACCCACATCTCCTCTTCATGGTTACCGGCCTCACTGGGAGGAGGCCTGCCTTACTGCCATCAGGCCTGGCTGCACTTCCGGATGGTCAGTGCACAGGGTGGGGCACAGAGCGGGTATGCAGGCAGCCTGGCCAGCAGAGGGGAGACTTGGCAGGGGATCCAGATCCAGGCAGGGCAGTGACAACTGACTTGAACCCTGGGGAGTTGGACAGCGATTCTGGGTCGGGTGGAACATCCCAGAGCTGGCTGCAGCATCCTGGAACCCAGATGGGACCAGCACTGTGCACCCCTCTGTCATGCCTGCCCCTACTCACAGCGCCTAGAAGCCCTACTGCAGAGCTGCCAAGTGGTTTGTACCCTGCTCCAGGGGGCCATTGAGACTGTGAAGGCTCTGCCCCAGCCCATGGAGACTGGGGTGAGTGTCTCCTCCTGACTCTTCCCCAGTGCTTCCTGTCTCCCTCTTTTTCTCCCATGCTCACATCTACTACCTGTTGCCTTTAATCACAGGAAGTTGATCAGCTGCTACAGCAGGCACAGGTCCTGATGCAGCACGTGCTAGACTCACCACAGCTAGCATGGCTACAATGCCAGGGGAGCTTGGAGCTGGCCTGGCTGAAGCAGGAGGTCCCAGAGGTGACCCAGAGCCCAGACTACAGGTAGGTACCAGCCCAGCTCCCAGATCTTGCACCAGCACACCATATCCCATGCCAATGCCTCAGCTGGCTCAGAACCAGCCAGGATTGTGGTCTCAGGACAGGGTGGAATGGAGCAAGGCACCTGGCAGGGGCCCTGAGATGGTGTACCTTGCACTAGGCCAGCGGTGGACAAGGTTGATGAGCTTTATGGCTGCGTGGATGGGCTGCTGCACGAACTGACCCTGCATAGTAACCGTCGAATACAGGCACTGGAGTTGATCCAGACATTGAAGGCCCAGGAGGGCGGGCTGCACCAGGTGGGAACTATCCGCCCAGATGGGCCCACCCCTGATCTCAAGCATGACCCCCCAGCCCATAACAGGTGTCCTTGCCCTGTTTGTGTCCCTCCAGATTGAAGTGTGGCTACAGCAGGTGGGCTGGCCAGCACTGGAGGAGCCAGGGGAGCCCTCAATGGACACCCTGCTCCAGGCCCAAGGCCCTTTTCGGGAGCTGGACCAGGTTGCCCAGGTGAGTTTGGCCATTTATTTATTCTGTAGGTCCTGGGGCATTTTGCCAGGGATTGGTAATGCAGGGTGGGTGAAAGCAAATCTATACTCTCTTAGGATTTTGTAGTACAGCAGAGAAGTTGTATTAAAGGTTCAAAGTCATAAATGTGTGTTTGCAAACTGAAGCAAAAAGCTCTGGAGAGAAGCAATGCAGGTGGTTCTACCTCAGTATATAAGAAAGACATGGCCATCTCTCTCCCAATTTTTTGGGGGGGAGGTAACCAAAATTTTTGGGGGCCTTGTTTTAACAAGGCAAGAGAGAGGGGCAGAGAGAGAGAGAGAGAGAAAGAAAGGAAGGGAAGAAGGAAGGAAGGGAAGAAGGAAGGAACGGAAGGAAGGAAGGGAAGGAAGGAAGGAAGGAAGGAAGGCCAGAGGGGTATTGGGCAAACTTTCTGAGACATTCCAGGCTGAGGGAACAAACAGCATGTGCAAAGGTCCTGTGGCAGGAGGGAGCATGACTTGCCTGAGGAACTGTAAGGACAGGTTGAATTGCAGAGCAGAAGAGGAAGGGAAAGGTGGGTGGGATGAGGTAAAACAAGGCTGGAAAAGTGCTCAGTGGCCAGATCACTGGGCCCTGTAAAGGTGCACAATTTAGGCAGGAAAGTCACATATTCAGATCGTGTTCTAGAAAGATTACCCTAGTTTCTGGGTAGACAACGATTTGGAGATTTGGAGGATGGATGTGGAGAGTCCATTGAAGAGGCAGTTGCAGTGATTCAGGTGGGAGATGGTTACTCTGGCCAGGATGATAGCAGAGGGCATGGATTAAATGGAATTTGATGGTGGACACATATGAGAGGGTAAGAGGGAGAGGAAGATAAGAATGAATGGGTTCTGTTTCCTGAGAGATACCAGGAGACAAGGACTTTTTGGGGGAAGGGCATTTGTGAATCCAGTCTTGGGTGTACTTTGGAGATGGCCATGGGGAATGAGAGGAAGACCCATAGGATTGGGCCTGATGCTTAGAGGAGAGATCTGGCTGCAGAGGGTCACTTGGTGGATATGGGTGACATTTGAAGTGTGGTTACACAAGATTGCCTGGGGAGAGACAGTGGACTGTCTTCAGGAGCCTCAGTGTTCAATGGCCCAGGTAAGGGTCTGGGAGCAGGAGGAGGAACCACCAGAGACAGATGAGGAAAATCAGGAGAGTGAGGAGGGGTCAGGAGCCAGGAGAGGGTTGAATGTTGCTGAGCTGCGGAGTCAGACGAGTCCTGAGATACGCTGGGAGTGGGATTGGAGGGGGCTGATGAGGTGAAGACACGGTGATTGTGAGGATAGGTTTGGCTGTGGGGCTAAGGAAAAAGGAAATGTGTGGGGAGTGGAGAGAGGGTCTTTGACAGGTGAGACTTGATGATGATGTGCAATGTCAGTGCAGGAGACCTGGGCTTGGGGGCTAGACCATCAGACCTCGGCTGCTGAGTCCAGTCTGTGTCTCCAGGAGCAGGTCAGGCAAGGGGAGAAGTTTCTGCAGCCGCTGACTGGCTGGGAAGCAGCTGAGCTGGGTCCCGTTGGGGCCCGCTTTCTGGCCCTGCAAGCCCAGCTGACTGAATTCTCTAGAGCTTTGGCCCAGCGGCGGCAGTGGCTGGCAGATGCTGAGAGGCTGTCGTGCTTCTTCAAGCAGGTGTGTGAGGGTTCTGCCCCTGGCTCTGGGTGGTCAGTAGGGCCCGAGGGGTGGCTGCCCAGCTCCTCCACAGCCTGAGCTCTTCCTGGTCTTTAGTCTGACCCCTAAATCCAACCACTGGGGATGTGGCCTGGGGACAGCACCCTGTGGGGATGGGGAACAGGGAGAAGCCTCAGCAGTCTTGGTGCGTTCCTCCCTCAGTGCCTGTGTCGCCTTGGTGTTGTAGGCCTCGACATGGGCTGAGGAGGGGCAGCGGGTGTTGGCAGAGTTGGAGCAGGAGCCCCCAGGGGTTGTGCTGCAACGGCTGCAGCTGCACTGGACTAAGCACCCTGAATTGCCTCCTGCCCACTTCCGAAAGATGTGGGCTCTGGCCACGGGCCTAGGCTCTGAAGGCATCCGCCAGCAGTGCCGCCAGGCCTGGGCACAGTGCCAGGACACCTGGCTGGCCCTGGACCAGAAGCTAGAGGCTGCACTGAAGCCACTACCGACGGGCAGCACAGCTAGCCCGTGTGTCAGGCAGGTCCCACTTGTGCCTGCCACCCCTCCGCTGAGGAAGGCATACAGCCTTGATCGGAATCTGGGGCGGAGTCTCAGAGAGTCTGTCTACCACTGCCACCAAGCGGCCAGTGTGGCTGCCTGTCACAGACCAGAGGCTGGTGCCCAGCCTGGGTTATCCCCCACCATGCTTCTGTCAGGCAGCTCTGATCCCAGGAGTCCCAGCAGGTACAGGCATTGGGCAGGGCAGGGAGGGCAGTGGCAGGGCAGATGGCAGGGTCTTGACTTCTCCTACCTGGTAGGCTCCAGTTGGTGTTGGCAGAGATGGTGGCTACGGAGCGGGAGTATGTCCGTGCCCTTGACTATACTATAGAGAACTACTTCCCTGAGCTGGATCGCCCCGATGTGCCCCAGGGCCTCCGTGGGCAGCGTGCCCACCTCTTCAGCAATCTGGAAAAGCTGCGTGACTTCCACTGCCACTTCTTCCTGCGTGAGCTGGAGGCCTGCACGCAGCACCCACCCCGGGTGGCCTATGCCTTCCTGCGCCACGTAAGCCCCCTAAGTCACACTGCCCCCTACTTACCCTGCCACACTCAATAAAAGCTGTTGGGCACCTGCTTGGTGCCAGGCCTTGTGCTGGCTATATCTGTGAACGAGACTAACAGGGCGCTGCCCCTCAGGGTGCTCACAGTTAGGGAGAGGAGACATAAAAGTGAAAAAGGTAATTCCAGGTTATAGTTGGGGCTTGGAGGAAAATAATCAGGAGAGAAGATTGAGTTACCAGTGGGGCAGGGTTTGGAGCAGTGAGGCCTGTGAGGAGCTGATGTTTGAGCTCAGGCCAGAGGGCGGGGCTGGAGTCATGGTGTCCCATCAGAGGAAAGAGCAAGTGCAAAGCCTGTGGCAGGAAAGAGGCCCAGTGGTCCAGGAAGAGACGGGTCAAGGTGGCTGAGTGTAGTGAGCAGAGGAGTAAGTCCAAGGTGAGGTAAGACCAGAGTGTTCTCAGAGCTGTGGGAGGAGCCGAGCTGGGTACAGGACTCCTTCGCTGTGAGCAGTCCCCCTCTGCATAGGGCAGCTCTTGCCAGATCACCCCTTGTTCAAAGCAAGGGCAGCTTTTGGGAGCTGGCCCCCTTGCACCTGGGGCTGAGTTACGTGTCCTCACAGAGGGTGCAGTTTGGGATGTATGCGCTGTACAGCAAAAATAAACCTCGCTCCGATGCCCTGATGGCTAGCTATGGCCACTCCTTCTTCAAGGTAGGCGAGCCTGAGTGAGGGGGCGGGGGGTGGCGGGAGTACCCTGAGGCTACCTGATGCTCTCCACCCACCTGGCAGGACAAGCAGCAAGCCCTGGGGGACCACCTGGACTTGGCCTCCTACCTGCTGAAGCCCATCCAGCGCATGAGCAAGTACGCACTGCTGCTCCAGGAGCTGGCGCGGGCCTGCGGGGGGCCCAGGCAGGAGCTGAGTGCTCTGCAGGCTGCCCAGAGCCTGGTGCGCTTCCAGCTGCGACATGGCAACGACCTGCTTGCCATGGACGCCATCCAGGGCTGTGACGTGAGTCATGCCAGGCCGTGGTGGGCAGGTGCAGTGGGTGTCAAGGTGCAGTGGGGCCAAAGAAGCTGGGCACCCACTGGGCCCCAACTTGGCAGGTCAACCTCAAGGAACAGGGGCAGCTGGTGCGACAAGATGAGTTCACAGTGCGTGCTGGGCGCCACAAGTCCCTGCGCCGAGTTTTCCTCTTTGAGGAGCTGCTGCTCTTCAGCAAGCCGCGCCGAGGACCCACAGGCATCGACATGTTTGCCTACAAGCGCTCCTTCAAGGTAGGCCCACCGCCCCACCCTGGGCCCCTGCTTCCCATGCCTCACCACATCCCTCTCCGCCACACAGATGGCAGACCTCGGTCTCACCGAGTGCTGTGGGGATAGCAACCTGCGCTTTGAGATCTGGTTCCGCCGTCGCAAGGCCAGGGACACTTTTGTGCTGCAAGCCGCCAGCTTGGCCACCAAGCAGGCTTGGACGGCTGACATCTCCCGCCTGCTCTGGAAGCAGGCCGTCCACAACAAGGGTAGGCCCCTGTCCCTACTTCACCCTCCGCCCCCACCCCCAAGTTTCTGTTGTCCCACAGGGGCCAGAGGAGGCCTAGGGACCTGGAAGTGCTTGGGAAGGGGGGAGGAGGCCCAGCAGCAGCCAGCGTAGGGGAAAGCACCCCCAAGGCAGCAGTCCTGCTGTCACTGTCTCTGACTGTGGACACAGCTTTTTTTTTTTTCTTTTTTAATATTTTTAAATTGATTTCAGAGAGGATGGGAGAAGAAGAGAGAGATAGAAACATCAATGATGAGAATCATTGATCGGCTGCCTCCTGCATGCCCCACACTGGGGATCAAGCCCACAATCCGGGCATGTGCCCTGACTGGGAATTGAACCATGACCTCCTGGTTCATAGATCAACACTCCACCACTGAGCCATGCTGGCCAGGCCATGGATACAGTCTTAATCTCTTTGAGTATCAGAGGCCTCGTCTCTAAAAGGGGAATTATACCTGCCCACAGGATTGTTGGGAGGAGTGAGTCTGGCACCTCCAAGGCTCAGTGCATGGGATGGTTTATCTGCTGGGAATGGGTGTCAAGGAAACACCTATTAATGGGGAGGAATAGTAGAGGCCGAGGGGCAGGGTAATGTCACAAAGGGCTCCAGCTATGCCCTCTCTCCACCCAGAGATGCGCGTGGCTGAGATGGTGTCCATGGGTGTGGGGAACAAAGCCTTCCGGGACATCGCCCCCAACGAGGAAGCTATCAGCGACCGTACCATCAACTACGTTTTAAAGTGCCGAGGTAGCCTTGTGGGTGGGGTAAGGAAAGCTGCGCGGGAGGCAACAAGGACCTCTGTCAGCCCCAGTCTTCGCTTCCCTCAGGACCTTGGTCCAGGTGGGCTCTCACCTGTCCTAACCTGACCCTCTCTCTTATGCAGAAGTTCGTTCTCGGGCCTCCATTGCTGTGGCCCCGCTTGACTGTGAGAGCCCCTATCTGGGGGCCTCGAGCGCCCTTCCTGCAGACCCTGCCTCTGGCTCAGTACTAGGGTCCCTCAACCTGCACCTGTACAGAGACCCGACTCTTCAGGGCCTCCGCTGGCCCCTGTATTCCACCAGCTTCCCAGAGGAAACATCGCTGGAGGCTGAAGAGGAGCTGGGCAGCCAGCCATCCTTGAGTAGGTCTGGGCTTAGCCAGAGGCAGGAGGGCATGACTTGGGCTCTGGCCACCCCTGCTCACAGCTCACCCACTCTCCTGCCCTAGCTCCTGAGGACTCAGAGGTCTCATCCCAGTGCCCATCCGCTAGTGGCTCCAGTGGCTCTGACAGCAGCTGTGTGTCAGGGCAGGCTCTGGGCAGGGCCTTCGAGGACTTGTCCTATGTGAGTGTCATTTTGCCTCATACGCACCAGCCCCTCCCCAACCCAGTCTGGGCCTATGGCTGCCTTTCCTTTAGGTGGGAGTGGGGGTGGGTGGACCCTGAGCTGGGGAAATAGGCACTCATGCCTAGGTTGGCACCACAGGTCTGAGCCCAGGCTCGAATGTGAGCAGTGGATCCAGCAGCCTATAACTCCAAACATCATCACCTCTGTCTGGATCTACTGTGACCAGGGCATAGCTGGCACCTGGGCCACTTCCAGCCCACATGCACTGCCCTGTTGACTACCCTTTCTGACATCTGTACCCACTGGACTCCAGGGGACTCTGCTGCAGAGCCTGAATGAGCACCCTGATCCTGGGCTCCTGGCTCCATGTCCCCTCCTGTCTCTCCAGTTCCCACCCAGTTGTGGGTTAGGATTAGGCTAGAGCAGAGCGTGGGTGTTTCCATGCTCTAGGCTGGTGGGCACCAAGTAGCCACAGCAGCTGTGTGTCAGGGCAGGCTCTGGGCAGGGGCCTCGAGGACTTGTCCTATGTGAGTGCCATTTTGCCTTATACGCACCAGCCCTCGGGAGGAGCACGGGCAAGTCCCAGCAGCTGCTTCCCAATCTTGGTCTCAAAGCCAAGCTCCTCAAACTAAGGGACAATCCTGTTGGGCCCTTACTGTTGCCTGCCCTGGCTCCCCAGGCCCAGCCCCTTCTTACCTGGGTCAGTTTGGTTCTATTGACTCAGTGCCTTTTGAATAGCTTTCAATTAGATTTGTTGTCTAAACTTATTTCACTGGTGGTTAGGTTTTTGGCATCTCAGAGAGAGATCCTAGGACTTTGACTTGTTATTTACTCTTTTATTTGTTTATAATAAAAAACAGACTGATACATGAATTCTGGGACATCCTTGGTTCAAATGAGTCTTAGAAGCCTGGGACATGTGGGGGTAGTGTCTCTGGGTACCCTAGCCCTCTTGTAAGTACTTGCCCAAGATAGAGTAAGAGACAGACCTAGACAGGCCCCTCTGGACGAGCAGGTTCACGCAGCAGCCATATTTCCTGGCGAAAGGCAGTGTGAGCTGGAAAGAAAGGTCATTCTTATCCCTGATTTCCTGTCCAGTTGTCTGCTCTAGCTCTGTGCGGGCAGGTCTTCCTGGCTGGGCAGGGGCAGGAGCAGGGACAAGGTAAGGCCAGTAGTTGGGAAACTTTAATGTTCTTGGGCTCAGTTCTGGCGAAGGACATCTTACAGGGCTGTGGCTAAGAGTGGCTACCAGAGAACTGGCTAAAGGGTCAAAAAATGCCGCTATTTTCCCACTTTCTAGCTGTAGATGCTGATTTCACCTTTCTAATGACACCAGAGGCCTAATGATTTGGCACTAGTGTGTTTGTGATAAGGTGTTAGAATAATGTACTTGATTACAGAAGTACCAGATTAAAGCTAAATCTTTTTCACCTACAATGTTAAATATAAATATAGCCTAAAATCATTTTAAGGAAGACAAAAAAAAACAAACCCTGGGTCATTTCTTTGCCCTTACTGAACATTTTCATTTTCCATATAAAAGTGCTTTAAAGCTGCTTAGCTATAAAAGGAATGTACAAAAGTGGTGACATTATGGTTAAGTAGGTGAAGTGGGTATCACATGTTGAAAAGGTCTGACTCCCAGTAGTTTCTCTGATGTCAGTATCCCAAAATCTTGGGCTTGTATGATGGGCTTTCCTGAGAGTGGCCATTGTTAGTGATGAAGGCAAAATTAGTATCATAGGAGGAAAACTACAAAACCAAGTAGCCTGAATACTGCTTTTTGACCACTCCGGACTGGTTAATTTCAGCTCTCCCTCCTCCCCACTCCCGATTGGACCCAGGGATCTGAGGTCTAGCTGTCCAGCTTGCTTTCTGGGAAGCAAGACACAGTACCCATCTGAGGCATCCTGCATCCCAGTGGGTGCAGGTGGCTCTCACCTCCACCCAGCTGTGCAGGCGTTCCTGGGTATGCCGGTCATTCTTGAAGCCAGTGATGGCCAGCAAATCCACCACAAACTGCTTGGGGCTGATGTGCAAGGTCTGCCAGGAGAGCCCACAGTCAGGCCGGGCCGGGGTAGCTGTCTGACATATTTGCTCTCAGCCCCTCAGAGTGGGATGTACAGCAGGGACTCCCTTGGGCCTGCAGTAGCTGCAGGGACCAGGGGGCACTGTCACCCCACACTGCCTTGGCCAAGGCTTGGTCCAAATGATGTTGCCCTGTCTTCCTGTCCCCGTTTCTCTTGCCACCCTTCTGTCCCTGACCTACTCCCCACTTATTGTGGGGTAAGAGGACAGGAGGAGAAGGAACCTGTCGTGTACATACCCACAGTCGGTTGGCCAGGGAGACCACCTTGGCTGTGATGGCTTTGGGGTCCTTTTGTCTGATGGAATCCAGGATGATGTCAGTCAGGAAGCGGTGACATTTCTGTGCATAAAACATCTCTTCCCAGGACAGAGAGAAACTCAGGAAGGTCACCTCTATAGAGGAGAGAGTGGATGTGGCCACTTCTGCCTACATCTAGGGCCTTAGAGGCAGCCTGTGGTAAGGGCTGCTGAGGGATACTCCCCCTGGAGGACCCTCGGGGCTCAGCCTCAGGCATCCTCACCTCGGGGCCGGGGGCTGGCTGAGGGCAGTGTGTGCCTCACGATGTCCATCTGTGTGGTGTAGACGATGCTGTCCTCAAAGAACATGCAGGAGCCATCATTGCCCACCACAGGGGGGTGGCTCACCTTGAGGATGACCCCTGCGCTGTCTAGGTCACTGGCCTCAGGCAGAGGCTGCTCAGGGCCAGGGCTTTCTGTAAAAATGTGGGGGAAGCGTTCTTAAGCCACCTCAGAGCTCAGGCAGGGAGGGACTCTGGAGTACAGTCAGTCACTCCAGCTTCTCGGCAGGGGCACCCTGGGATGGCAGGGGGCTGTCCGGCTCTCCTCTCTCCATTGCCCTGGGATCATCAAGCCAGACCCTAAATTGCAGGACTCTAAGGAACTCGCCAAATTTCGCTGCTGAACTAAGACTGGTATCAGATAAGGCCGACAATAACCCAGCTGGGGACTGGGAACCTTGGTAAAGTTGTAAAACGAGAGGAGCTTTTGGGGCGAGTCTTTGATGTCTGTCCACTCTGAAAAGTGTGCTTGGCAGAGCAGAGGAAGTTGTCCATCATGGCCATTCTTGGCACATGTGCTCTGCACCTCCCCCCAGACACAGCACACCTCACTCTCCAGCTCGTTGCCCTGTCCTCCCACCTCAGTAACCATCCACTTCCTTGCAGTCACCAAACCAGAAACCTGACCCCTCTGACCCAATCCTTACCCCTTCTGCCCCCGTCCTGTCTAGCCTGTTTCATCTAGAATGACCTCCCAACTCTAACACTTCCCTTCCTGCTGCTGCCTTTCCTCTGCCTCTGGAGCCAGCTTTCTGAATGTACACCTGACTGCTCCCCTGTTTGTTTTTAAATATATTTTTATTGATTTCAGAGAAGGGAAAGGGCGAGAGAGAAAGAAACATTAATGATGAGAGAATCATTGATCGGCTACCTCCTGCTCTCTCCCTACTGGGGATTGAGCCTGCAACCCCAGCATGTGCCCTGAGCAGGAATCGAACCATGACCTCCTGGTTCATCGGTTGACACTCAACCACTGAGCCACACTTGCCGGCTATTTTTAATTTATTTTACTCCCTTGTTTAAAATGCTGCAATGGCTGCCCACTCCCCTTAGAATCAAAGCAGAGTGCCAGGTCCTGAACTTGGGCCACAAGACCTGTTCTGATTACTTTGTCTTCAGTCTTATCTCCCGCTAGGTGAAGCCTGGCCTCCTAGACTGATGACCTGCTTCCACAAGCACCAAGGCTTCTCTTCCGTCCTCTGTGACTCTCCAGCCCCCAGCCTCCTCTGTGCTCCCTTACCGTAAGCTTTATGTGGTTTCTCAGCCCCTCAAGCCATGCCCCCTTCCCTTACGCTTTATGTGGTTTCTCAGCCCCTCAAGCCATGCCATTGTGTAGGTCACATATCTGTATCTGCTGCTTGGCACAGAGTGGACTCACCTCTCTCCTTTGACTTTGGCTTGCCCCAGTCCTTCAGGGTGACAGCTCTTTTTGTGGGGAAGTATGGTTTAAACGTTGGCTCTGGCCCTTTGTCTTTGGCTCCAGCTCCAGCCCCTGCCTGCAGACCTGGGTCCTTCTCTGGGGCTGTGGCATGACCTTTCCAGGAAGCTGAGGTACTGGGCTGGGAAGCAGCCTCACTCCCCGAGGGGAGCTGCAGGGTGGCCTCCTCCAAGGCGCTGCTCCGAGGAGCCGGCAGAGGCTGGAATTCCCATTGTTTGCAATTGACCATGTCCCATTCCCTCACCAAGGAGATGAGTTTTTGCATGGGTGTGACAGGAGGGTCTTTGGTTTCACATTTCTGTGTGAGGTTGACTGTGGTGGACTTTTTCTTGGGAGGACTTTCAGGGCAGGCCCCCCAGTGTCTGGGGTTGGCACATAGGCTGGAACAGTGGGAGTATGTGCTGGGATTGCCTGCCCGCTTGGCACCTCGGCACAAGGACATCTGGATGGTGCGGGAGTACTGCTCAGTCTCCTCCATTTGGCTGGACCTGGCGAGGGTCCCCTTGACCTTGTTCCAGGGAGTCCTGTCATTGCAGTCCTGGAAGTCCCCAGGCATGCAGGCTATGCTCTGGGGAGGGAGGGCATAACAGCTCTGGGTATGTTGTGCTTCTACATTGGAGCCTCCCCAGGTCTAATAAGCTGGGCCTCCGAGACTTTACTTGCTCACCCAGAATAATCCCATTCCCGCCCCCCCGCCGTCCCCCCTCTCTCCCTCCCCCCGTGGTCAG